CTACATAAATTACGCATTCAGGGGAAACCGTACATAATGCAAGGGCTGCAACAATATGAAATGTGCATTGATAACGTGATTAACGTGAGTAATTCAAAATTTGGGAAATTCATGACACTTCACGACCTGACATAAGCACAATGGCAATACATTATCACAGATGCTTATTAAGCACATTNGGGCTGCAACAATATGAAATGTGCATTGATAACGTGATTAACGTGAAGTAATTCAAAATTTGGGAAAGTCATGACACTTCACGACCTGACATAAGCACAATGGCAATACATCATCACAGATGCCTATTAAGCACATCTGACCCCTCCACTTTAAAACTGGGCCAAGTACCTCTTCCAGTGGATTAAGAAATATGGCTGTTATATGTAAAAGAAGATTTCTCAGCTTCACAATGAATTTACTTAATTGCATTCTCTCACCGAATGATATCTGTATATTGCAACAATTTCAAAACGTAAATAACAGAACAATCCTGCAAATACAGCAATCATTGAAATGGTCACTACTTTACAATTGAAATACGTTATTTAGTGTACTGCACTGCATAATTAAACTGTAGCACACAACAATAAATTATTATGCACACAAAACTTCACACAATTTCAAAAATTTCATATCTCTTAAATATAGTAGTTGCTTAATAGAATTTGATTTCATGGTGGGGTCTAAGTTCCCACGGCTGTAAGTATGAAGATTTCGGTCATGTAATTTGGTGGATATTAATGTTTTAGAGGAACCTACTACCTCCAACTTCAGAATAGATCCTGATGATAGAGGAAGCACTTTTCTACAAAACATTGGTATCCACCTATCAAAATACTTGGTGTTACATCCCAGAAGACTCTAATCCTCATTGTAAGGCAAAGAATCCTAGCAGTGCTCACAGATCATAGGCCATAATTTATGGCCAGTCACAATGCGTTAAAGAGTATGAATTTCATTGGGCACAGAACCCCAAAATTGTCATAGCTACAGGTAGACAGCACCTATTTATTTCCAGATCTTCTTTTAGTAAAGCTACTTTCAGTGTCTTATGTGCTATTTGTATCGTTCTCAACAATTTTATATGTAGGAATTAATTTCTGAATCTCTGATGTAATGATTTCCTTTATATACATGTTGCTCACCCCTCTGGGATTTTCTACCATACTGAAGCATCTGCCTAATTCTGGAAAGTTATTTGCTCACCTCACCTTGGAAATGTAACAGACGTGAGGGTATTTTGCACAACCTCACCTTGTACTGATTAGAAACTAAACACCACAGATAACTGATCACAGATCACAGACAAAAAGAATCTGAAACTTAATGCCACTTAAGCTCTTTATCTGTCAGTTACATTATTATCCTTGGAATCAAATGTAATTATAATGTATACTTCAAGAGTGACAGGAACTACAAGCAGTACGAATACAAATTTGGAATTCAAGTATGTATATAAGGTTGATAAAGAAGAAAAAGATGTCTAGTTCATATACTAACAAGAACTGAAAAGATGAAGATAACATGGATTACAGAGAGATAATGCGCAGTTGCTAAGAGGGAGATTAGGAACTTCATCACAGCTGGTTCTTACATTAAGTGTATGTCAGCATTAGCAATACTGAGTAAGAAACTAGTTGTTTTGTATGGTTGTGAAACTTGACTTCTCACCGTAAGAAGGTTTGATGATGCGGTGCTGAATAAGACGCTTTCAGATTACATACAGAGCTTCACAAATTTTGCTTTACACCTAGTTGGGCATGTGTAACAAGTACAATCTTCGTAGAGAAAGTGGTACTGATTACGATGTTCACAGCACCACTGGGCCTTATTTTTAGCTAAATTAATTCAGTACACACACTGGCATCCTATAAGGGCCATTTTGATAGTACCCTCTCATTTCTGTCCTTTTCTCCAAAGTGGTCTCATATATACAGCTATTTTGATTAAAATTTTTATACATTTGCATTTGGCCACGCCATAGCTCAAGCGGTTAGTTGCTGGCTTCCCACTGTGGCGGCCTGGGTTCGATCCTGTGTCTGGTCAAGTTGGATTTGTGGTGAACGAAGTGGCCCTGGGGCAGGTTTTCTCCAAGTACTTCGGTTTCCCCTGCCAATCTTCATTCCACCAATTGCTCCACAATCACCCTCACCTATCATCTGGGGCTGGTACAACAGGCCAGAAGTGGCCGCACTACAAGGGCCATAGTCCCACCCCACTAGCAATTAAAAAAAAATTAATTACATTGGCATTTACCCCTGAATACTAAATGGCCCTCCAAACTTAATGTTCTTTAAACAGCCTAACAACATTAGGTGACAGACACAAATTATGAAGCTTGTTGTTGTACAGTTTTCTCCAGTCCTGTACAATACAGACCATACTGAAGAAGTTTCAAATAAAAGTTTTCCTTTTCATATGGATCTATGTTTTAAATGATGTACCAGTCATTTGCACAGTGAATAATCTCTAGGTCAGAAGTCCCAAAATTGTGGGGCAAGAGTGGCTTTCCAGGGGAAAGCGTGTTGCTTGTATGAAAAACCATTTTAAATAGAATACTCAACGCTATAAGAACAAAGTGCTAAAGTGTATTGTCAACGCACCATGGTACATTCATCAGTGACCTCCATCGTGACCTTGGGATTGAGACGGTTACAGGTATCATTGCTAAGTCTGCCACCTCTCATGAAAAGAGACTCCAAACCATGTCAACATTGAAGCGTCCATACTTCTCAACATGAATATCATTAGATGACTCAAACAGAAGAAACTGTTCGAACTAGGTAAACGTTAAAGTACTAAGTAATTCAGTGGAAGTGACTTGGTTTTAATTTATGTAGTATATTAGGTTTAGAAAAAAATTAGTTATCCAACTAGTTTAAATTGTAATTAAGTTTTGGGTTACCCAGTCTTTAATTAATAAAAGAAACAGAAGACAGATAAGCATTTTTAAGCTACTTTCCTTTGTTAAGGTGCTGCAATTGTCACACGATACTACATAATTCAAACTCACAGAACATAGAAAGTTTTATAAAGTAAATGACAATATAAGTCTATGTACTGTCACATTCCATCAAATTCTCCACAAATAAGAATGTAAAAAATTGTAACTATTGTAATTTTAATCTACTTATATATCAAATTGTTAATATTCAGAATTAACTTGACTTGTCATATATCATGTACAATGATCTACAGTGACGAAATAAATCAATCAATCAATCAATCATTACAATATGTGAAACAAACGTTTTGCAATTCAGATTGATGAAGTGAGTGATTGTAGTGGTATCTGGTCACTTAATAGCTTACGTGTGTATGTTGAAGATATAACAATTGATGAAGATCTTTTCTGAACACCTATAAAAAGAAAAGCATCAGCAAAGTAACTCTTCAAAATTTTTGATGATTTCCTGAAGGAAAAATGCATAATGTGGCCGCACTGCGTTGGATTATGCACAGCTGCAGCTGCCGTAATGGCGGGAAATAAAGGACTGCAGGCCTTAATTACATACTCAGCACCAGAAGCTTTGTGGACACATTGTATGATGCATCTTGAATCACTGGCTATGAAGGGATTATGCTCAGAGCTGAGTGAAGTGATGGTTACAGTAATCAAAACTAAACTACATAAAGACATGTTCATTGAAAAGTAGACGTTTTGCAGAAAAATGTGAGGATATGGGGACACAGTATCAGTCATTCCCATTTCAGCGTATTCTCATTCGCTGTCATGAGGAAATGCGGCTTGTGCTCACAACTTTCAAGAAGGATCAGTATAGTTTTTAGAAGAATAGATCCTAGTACATGCTAAACATTTTTGCAATGACCATTTTGTTTCTAAGTTGGCGTTCTTAAGCGATATTTGTTAGAAGTTCAGTACGTTGAACCAAAGCATTCATGGGAACGATACCAACATCATCGCTGTGATCGATAAAGTGAAGGCATTCATTGGAAATTTGGGCTCATGGGTCAGAGAATTAGAAGGGAACAGTTTGGATAAGTTTTCTCTTATGAATGATTTTGTGGAGGAAAGCAATGTGGGCACAAATGACACTGCAATTGGACATGTATCAAAAATTGCTTGGTTAATATGCACTCCATGTTTTCTAAATATTTTCCAGAAGCAGTAAATGATAAATACAAATAGATCATGGTTCCACTCCATGTTGATATGCACCAAAATTAAGGTTTTTCTCTTGAATAAGAAAATCATACTGACATTATATTTGATATCTCTTTAAACCGATTACCAATCCAGACCCCCATCTATAGTCATGCCATGTGACAGTATCATTCTGTGACAAAACCTACAAAACGACCTTAGCATGGTCTTTTCAAAAGTCCAACCTTAGCAAGATAAGTTATGTTAAAAGAACAATCACATTCATCTCACTAATCCAAGTATGAAACATCCTTTAAATTAAATGAATTACTCGTACATAATATAGGCCTATAACAAATTATAAAAGTATGCTTATCGCTAAATGTTAGGTCAAATGTGTTTGCATTTGTTCTGGAAAGGGGGCGTGAAATTCATGAAATGTTTTAAGAAGGGTGCAAAATATAAACATTTGGAGAGCTCTGCTCTAGGTGCATTCCCAAAACTGCTGTCTCTCTGTATGCATGAAAAAAAGAATTTTCATAAAATATGTTAACAAGTTCCAATTTTTGTAAAAATACAGGCATTTCAGCACATAATTCAAGCATAACCATTAAGTATTTATCAGAGTCAAAAATGTTTAGAATCAAATTTGCAAAGAAAAATGAAACATATTTTATGTCCAATATATTTAATAATTTCAAGAAATATAAGCATATAGTTATATCTCTGTACTTCTTATTGTTATCTACATGAATCAGTTCAGTCACTACAATTTATTTACAAACAATCAATAACAACAAGGCTTCGGTGTGCCAGGTTTTCTTTAAATCAGAGGAGAAGCATCAAGGCATTTCTCAGAAAATATTCTGGGTATAGAATAAATTAAAAATTTATATAAACATGTGAATATATTTATTTACAAAAGTACATAATAAATGAAGGCATTGTGATCAGCTACAGAATTCTATTTCTGAGCTTTCAGCATTCTGTATGCCTCAACTGCTTGTACTCTCTGCAACTCCAACTGCTGCTTTGTGGCTAAAGGCAACTTCCTTGAAAATGTAGATATATGCTCGATCTTTGTCTGCAACATCGGTTTCAGCAACAAATCCTTCTTTCCAGGCTGCAAAAGGTTCAAGAATTACATGAACTACTTTAAATTTACTTTTAACATCTTTTTAACTTCAAGATAAATATCAGTGACAAAATATACTAAATAACTTATGACAAAAATGGTCGATGTTTTAACAGTATAACTAAGGAATGAAGAAGATGAAACAAACATTAATTAGAACAATAATCAAAACATTAATTAGAATTTTAATTTCTGGAATTGGATAAAAATATGCATTAATTACTGATACAAAGAAACTGAAAGACAGTACTGGTTTCAATAATAATAAAAAGTAATATACCATACAAAGTTAAACTCAATGATAGAAGCACCATATTACATAAAAAGGGGATCTGGCAAATGAGAAAAATGTTAATAATGCAAGCCTATGAACATAAAAATGTTAAACTTAATAATAGGGAAATAAAACTGGGTACCAAATTCCTCAGGATTGCTAACACTATTTCAGAGAGTTCTTTATGGTCTGATGCTCCAACAAAAACAAAGGAACTTAAGAAAGTATATCAAATATTTTGTTCCTTCTAAATGCATCCTTGGAAGAGCTAGGCATAACCGAGAGGATAATATTACGACAAATTTTAAGAAAACAGGGTGTGAGAGTCTGGAGTAGATTCAACTGTCTCGGGGCTCAGGATAATCAAGTAGCGCGCTCTTGTGAACATGGCAACTTTCAAGTTCCATAAAAGAACAGCAATTTCTTGTCCAGCTAAGGGAATATTAGCTTGCCAAGAACTCTGCTCCATGATGTTGTTTTGCTTTACTGGTAACATATTAAAAGACAAGCATTCAGTCTGACACAAAAACAAAAACAATTTAATGTCGTTATATTTAAGAAATTAAAGGGATGCTGTTAGGATCTGGAATTCCTAACCCAAAATCAAATTCTGTGAACTTGTGAATGGGTTTAATACAAAGGAGAAGATGCAGCAGTTTCAAATGTCTATGTTACAGATATATGTAGAAAACAATAGTAATATATGTAGCATGAGCATTAAAATACTGCTGTCAACAGAGTGTTAGATTTGGACTTCATAAGATCCATGCTAAGTTTGGAAAGAAGCTTTATTAATAAGTCTGACATAAACAGTGTCTAGGACATCTCTGAGGTTGCATTAACATCAGATCGTGACACAGATCATTAGGAAATTACTTTGTTCTATATTCAACAGTTGAAACCAAAATCACCATACCGGAAATCTCACTGAACACAGAGGGATTTTCTTTCATAAGGCTGCCTACTCAAGTAATAACATACCTTCAAAGATGTTTTAGATAATATTTGAAATTTGCATTTCATTTCATTTTCTCTATTGAGAAATAATGAGCCAGCACTTGGCTAGTTACCAAGTAAAGAAAGTTAAGTGATTTTGAACATTTTCAATATTAATATTGCTTTAGGCATTTTATTTGATTAGTCACAGCACAGCTAGAATAATGTAACAGTGGAGGATGACTGTGAATGGTGAACAAGTAAGAATGTGGAAGGGGCAGTTATGGTTTATGTTACGCATTATCACTTCTGTTGCAAAGGATTATAGCAAACCATGAAAATTTCAGGATAACTGGCTTCCAGACTAAAAATCAGACTCGTAACGCAGAAAATAAAAGCAGGAATACTACCCGTTCAGTAACGTTTGACAAGTGTTTTATGTGGTTCTAAATGTGATGGTTCTTTCTTTTATCAGTTCACAGTTTAAGTATAACAGCTACTATGCAGTCAAGATTTTAATTTTGAACAATGAGGTAAATGTGGAAACTGAACACAAAAGAATTCAAACTTTAAAATTTTAGGTATCTTCAGGATCCAGAGACTGTACTGAAAAGATAATTTGTTCATTATATATGTCACACATACCCTGTCTTTTGCATCTTTTGTATCTGCTTTCCGTGGTAGAGTTTTAATTGCAGGTGGGGCATGAACTGTTTCACCAAATTTCACTTTATCTTGAAACCTCGCAAAATCATCCTGATTTTTCTCTATTTTTACTTCCTTCATTTCCTTCAGTTTCTGCTTCTTCCGTTCTTTCTTGCTTGACTTTGTTTCAGCATCTCTCTTCTTTAGCTTCTTACGTGACGAATTTTCCATCCCATCGATTTCATCCTTTGGTTGTTTTGTTACTGACACTTCTCCAGTGTCAGGATCAACTCTGACATTAACACCATATTTTGCCTCAAACTTTGCTTCCTGAATTACTTGCTGCAAAAAGAAAAGTCATTCTAAACTTTAGATAAACCCCAAAACAAGGTGCAGGGATTATTTTGAACCCGCTGTCCTTCTGAACAAAAGTTAAGTGTTTATTCATGGATTTTCAATAATCTTGGGGGCACGTGGTAGTATAGTTGGTTGAGCCACTATGCTACATGCCGGCAGGTCATGGGTTCGAATCTCAATGAGGTGGATTGTTTTTAATATACCTAATCCTTGCAGCCACACTATGGCCCTGGGGTCAACTCAGCCTCTAACAGAAATGAGTACCAGGAATCTTTCTGGGGAGTAAAGGGTGGCCAGTGAGTAAGGCTGACAACCTTATCACCATCTGTGAGTCAACTGTCTAGAGAAAATGTGGGAGCCTCAATGTCTCACAACTCTATGGGTCTTCACAGCCTGTTACAGGAATAGTTTTTTTTTTTTATAATCTTGGTATAGACACCATACATGATGTCTCCATGTCATAATGTTCAGTTCCTCACTATTTATATTAACAACAAGGCAGCCATGCAGATTTCTGAGGTGGGAGTACTACTAGCCTGACATAATATCACGTCCTGAAATGTGTTATGGCAAAAGACCTCTGAAATATATCAAACTTATATAAATGTGGACTGAACATACACATACACATGCACATAAATTTCCAATATTCATGTTGCCAAGTGTTTGCACTTAGAATAGTTTAAGAGTTCCTTAAAGGAAGAAATTTTAAGAAAGCACTAATATTTATAAAATTAAATATTATATATTTATCTTCCACAATTATAAAGGCAATGGATGCATATAATGAATTCATGACAAGACACAGGAACTTACATGACATGCCTGATCAATCCTGTGCAAGAAATGACTATCACTTTCCCCTGGATTCTGAACAAATGATGGTATTGGTTTATCTTCCTTTGTCATTCCTGGCAGCCTTATATCTCTTCCTACAAAATTTTCTGTATTGATAAGTTCATTTTTCTGCGTCTTCTTTCTCCTCCTCCTTTTCTTTACCTGCATCGGACCATCTTTAAGCGCCTGATTTATTCTCATTAATCGTTCCACGCTTTTAGGTATCTCTTGGAAATCGACAATTTCTGGTGGTGCATTTATTTTATTCTGTAAACTGCACAAAACTAAGTGTGAAAGCTTGCATTATGTAATGACTTTCCATATGGAACCCTCAGCTTGCAACAGATAATGACAATAAACATAATTAAACACAAAACTTACTAATGGCAACTCTTCCCAATACCCTAATAAATAAGTTGGTTATTATTTAGGGCATGTCACCAGCTTATCAATGTAAAATTGTATATGTTCAATTTCTGTCTCCCATTTGTACATAACTGACAATTATGGATACACGATTAATATGGGTTACAAAGGGTTTAGACTCAACAAAACAAAAATATATCCCAAAAGTGTTATCACTTAATATTATTTTAACTGTAAGACTAATTAAATTTTTTGCGCAGAAATACGCAGTCCGAATATGTCACTCGAGATCGGTCTCGTATACCGTAGGGTGGAATCAGACTCGCACGCCGACTTTGACCACCCCTGCCCTAACCTAAACGAGAATTGATGCAGCAACTCAGATCAGCAGTCTGAGGTCACATAAATGTGCTTTGTGCCTTTTTAAAAGTAAACCGCTACAGTATACAAATCTTATACTGCCTAATATTTTACATCTGTCGCAAATAGCGGATGTACGTGCAGCGAAGATTAGCACGCAACTTACAAAATTGTATTATTACTCGTTTTAGTTCTATACATACAGAGCATTTCTCTTGGCTTGTTGTTGCAAAGGGTCTTTAACACCTTTATGCTTTCTTCCTGGTATTTTTCGACCCATTTCCGTAGTTTGTCTCTGTAATGATTCTTAACCTCAAAATTTTATACTTTACATGACGCCATCTTGCTTCACCAGGGTTACCAATGTGGTGAATATGAAAGACCAGCAGCGACCAATAGGTCCAGTGGGTACCAATATTATGTTTCTGGACGTTATCCATCGTCGTGTCTTTACTTAAAAAATACCGTCCTGTTTATTTTTCAAAGCACAACGTTTCGGAGACTGGATTATGTCTCCGTCTTCAGGTAAAACCTACTCAGTTTAGCCCAACTGCTATCTCCGAAGATGCTGGCTAGCTCCTTCGACTAGTCCCAAATGAGTAGGGACGATGACAGAATCCAGGATCCGAAGCGTTGTATTTTAAAAAACTAAATAGGACGGTGTTTTATTAGATAAAGACAGGAGGATTGGTAGTGTCCAAAAATATAATATTTGTACTAATGTACCGTCGTCACAAACTTTTAGACCAGTGACTAAGGTCAGCACTTTCTAAGGGACACAATTTCTTTCCTTCCCCCCCCCCCTCCGGCCCCCTAGAGCGGAAACAGATCCAGTCTAGTTTTGTAGAATACCGGACGATGGACAAAGTCCAAAAACCCAGTGATTATGAGTGTNCCCCCACCCACCCTAACCATTGGGTACTGGGGGGCTCTTTTTTGTGGGATAAAGTGGCCGGGGTATGAAGCGGACCACTCGCCTCCACCTAGTGCCGAAGTCAAGAAAATGTGGATCTATACATTCACTTCCCCATACGCCTTCTTGGCGTAGTGCTTATTAGTTAGGCACAGGGCCAATTTTTTTTTTCTAGAGGATCAATTCTCTACGGTGTTTCCGGTCGAGATAATTGCACCCTCCCTAACAGAGCCCCCCCCTTAACACAAGGCAACGAGTTCAGTGAATGATGTAATTGTTCTGGTCGAGACAGGTTTCTGGGAGCCATATAGACTGGTACGCAACATGCATTATACCCAGTGGCCACCACCTGACTATTAGTAGGACATTTTGACGGTCAAAAGTGTTCTTAAAAATGGGCAATTTCGTTCTAAGGCGTCTAGTAAAAGATAGGACACTGAATGAACAATCTGTGCCCTTAATACTTTGGAGAGAAAATTTTCCAGCGGATAGAAAGTTAATGAGGACAGTTCTGTTCAGTGAAAAATTTAAGTCATTCAAGCTTTCGAAGCTTCTCCCTTTCGAGGGTCAAAGATCCCAGTCAGCCAAATGGATTCCTGTTCTGTGAGTGGAACTCGAATAAGCGAACCAATCAGAGTGTGACTGGACGTACTCTAATGGATTTGATACGTTAATACAGTTAATTCAGGCAAATATCATTTGAAATGACGGGCGAGCCTTACTCTGGCGTACCGCTTGCCTGCAAGTCCTGTATTTAACATCGTGTCAGACAGTCATAAAAGGGGCATGCAGCTATCCTGAGGAGGTTAGCCGGAGGTCTACGTTTCTTTGAAACATCGGTCGTCCGGTTTTAGTGAAGGGCTCGGTAAACACGTTCCCGCTGCAATGGATACGCATGCAACAGTAGAGGTACTGTTGAAAAAGGGGGTTTCTGCAGTGGTCCGTGCGGAGGCGTTATAAGCAGGTCAAAGTTTAGAGCTTAGGTATTTGGAAGGGAGCAGTAGTTTAGGGAGAACTTGAACCCGCAAGCAGAAGACAGTCCATTTTTAAAGCAGTTACCAGGCAACTACTAGTGAAGACACTGTGGGCTGGAAAAACTTGACGTCATTATGGATAGCGTGGAAATAGCCATAGTGTTATAATTACTTGTAACTACGACCGGTAAGTGGTCAATAAATCCAATATCCAAACAAATACCACGTCTATAGCCACTCTATACACGTGACAATATTCTCCCTTCAAAGTAACATGGAACTGAAGTAATTAGCGTTTCGTTTCTCCACATCTTCAGCGATTTTAACAGTAGATGTAATGGTAGTAATTTTACAACTGGAAAGTAGCAAGCATTTCCAGGACTTAATATAATTATTATGTTCTTGGACATTATCCATCGCCCTGTTTTTTCTTTAAAACACAAAATTTCGGAGACGGAGAGACTCCGAGACGTTGTGTTTTAAATAAAAACAGGGCGATGGATAATGCCCGAAAACACAATAATTGTGTTAATATAATATCATCACAAACTTTTAGACCTTATTTCCAGGAATTACTTTTACTCTTATTGCAGTATGGACTTCGCTTCCCTCTGCTATAACATTGTTACCCGAAATATACACAATAACAATTTTGTCATTGATTCTGACTTCATGTCATGTTCATATCCTATTTTCTTTAAATCTGTGTAAGGCAGAAACTTTCCTATAGACCACTGAAAAAACTGGTCTATAAATTAATATGTATATATGTAAATTAGATGTCTCTACAATTTAATACAAATTTAACATGCTGAGTTTCATTCAAGCAAGCCTCATAGTTTTGGATTTGTGTCATAGTTGCGGAGAGACACAATGGAAACAATACTTGCTTTTCGAGTCTCTTCCAAACGCACCAAAAAAATGTACACACACATTAGTCTCGTATTCATTCGACTGCCCCATGTAATGCCCGAGACTTCTTGAATGCTTTCCTGAAGCAGGTTAATACGTAATCTACGAAGGTATATTCAACATAGGACATTGATCGACTCTTTGGTTATGAATGGATACAAGCTCCACAAGTTTCGGAGTATATGAACGGCGAAACCGGTAACGTCGGAGGCCATATTGAAGAGACGGTGTCATCAATTACAGATGTTTGCCCTTGCTGACGTAGTTGTACTCACTTCTGTCCCGGCGGGTTACCGATCGCGCCGGTCTCGTGGCTCTGGTTGAGCCGCTGTGGAGCGAGGCGGGAGGTATAAACATCAAAAGTCAGGCGACAGGTCCGAGAAGTCGTCGGTTGCGTTCTGTACGTAAGCATCATATAGTTATTTCATGCTCTTAAATACAAATCAAGCAGTTCATTGGAACCTACGTCCATTACATCGTTTGACGCGCTTTCACGGCAGCAGAAAATTAAGAATTAGTAAGGCAGGAAGTTATCCAGTTACTTAAACTTTATACCGAGCTTCACGACAAAGTCTTAACTGAAGGGAACCCTCTTCTTGGATATAACGTCGTGAAGTCTGTTGAAAGTCGACCGACATTTCGGAGGAAAACGTACTCTTCATAACGAACGCTGTGAGAACCTCAAATCCTACATGTCTTAATTTGTCTCTATAATATTGTCTACTGAATTAGAGTATGTGCAGGCGGATATACTCGTACATATGGGGCTCAAAGGTTAGAATTATGCAAAAAAACAAACAAACTGATAAGAAAGGACTCAGTTTTTGGGTCCACCATCGAACCACAGTCAAAGAACTCTGGTGTAGGTTCAACAGCGACATCTCCGTCTTGAACGAGTTCCATACCAAACACTTACTTATGTTGCTTTAAGCTGTTACATTCTTGTAAATCAAGAAGCTGAGGGTGCATTGCTCTCTATTAGGAACGCTTTCAGAGCCTGAAAGCCTGTGCATGTAAGTTAAATATTCTTATTATCTCAAGAAGCCCGTTACACGAGCGACTGAAGCATTCGCACGTGACTGTTGCTTCGCGTCATTTCGATTTCTCTTTGCTCGGCAGACATTGCTTACAGTCTGATTAATTTGTCATGGCCGGTCTGTGCGAGAAGGCGGTTGAGGTACGGAGATCTGGGGGGGGGGGG